AGGCTCCGGTTAAGTCCAGCACTGCAAATCACCCCATTTAAATACAACTCAGTGGTATCACACGGGATAAGGAAGTTAAAGACGTGCATACATGTTTTCACTACCAGGATCAGAGCATATGGATGCAAGTTGGAAGTAGAAAGAGGAGCTTAAATTAGCTTTTCCCGTCAGGGTTCTGCTGCCCATTAGCCTTATAGTGAACTGCATGGGATGACTGCATGAAGGCCAGGTCGGACAGGGCTTTGAGCAACCTAGTCCAGTGCAGGGTGTCCCTGCCCACAGCAGGGGTGTTGGAAGAAACGTTAAAGTTCATCCCCTTCCAACCCAAACCATTCCATGATTCAAAAACCAGTCTCCAGTGTGGGAGGGCTGGGTGCATCCCTGAGGGAATGAGCCTGCAGGCCTGGAGGAGCTGCCACCCCTTGCATAGGGGGCCAGGAGCTGGTGACAGCTTTTGTTTTCTAAGCAGCTTTAACAGGAGCCTTTATCTCTGTCCTGGGAGTGGAGGAGCCCCAGCTGCAAAATGGAGCTTTGAAGGAAAACAAAAACTACAAAATCATAAAGCATTCCTTTCTTACAAAAAGCCAGCCATTCCTGAAGATTCACGGGCAGCCTGGGTTGAGTCAGGACATGCAGCATTCCCACTCGAAGCAGGACCAGAGGCAGATGAGGCACAGCACAGCTGAAATGGGTGGTTCTGGTAGCTCAGGTGGAGCTGGTCAGGGGTTAGAGTGCCCTCGGTCCAGCAGGGCTCCTGCCACATACACCGTGGAGGCCCAGGATTAATAAAAGGAATAAAAGTTGCTTGAAAAGAGCAGTCAGGAGTGCTCAGTGCTTTTTGGGTTGCTCTCCAGTGCAGAATTTCATACCCAGTGCAGGCAGTGCTGACAAGGCTGCTGAAGCAATGCTGCTTGGACTGGCTTCACGTGAGCGAAAACGGGACAGAGGAAACACAGGTGTTCAAAAACACAGGAGGGAAGCAAAAGAATTTGGAGGATTCAGCTTGCTCAAAGTAAGAGGTTTTCATAATGAAGTGTTACTTAATGGCAAAATTCTTCAGAAGCTCAAGAGGCCTTTGAAAACTAGTTATTGGACAGCCTGATTCCAAAAAAATAGGTTTCCCTGTTACTTTTCTAATGAAAAAAAGAAAAAAAGCCCACACATTTTAAAACACTTCTTAACTGAGTCTTAGTTCTGTAAAACTGGTTTTTCACTGATGTTATGCCTTACTTCATTTTTTTAGTATTTCTAAAGACTGGAAACTCTAGTAGGCTATTATAAGATTAAGTTTCTGTTTCAGTAGATCCAAGTAAGGAAATCAAGGATATTTAATGAAAAAGCTCCAGATTTCACCAGAACTCAGCAGTCTATTCTGGAAACGCGATTAATTTAGACAGTTTGAATAGGTGCGGAACACAAGCATCCTTTTGAGCTCTACGGTTTTAATTTGTTTGTGTTACAATACAAGGGGTTAAACAAATCTCAGAATCTGGATGTTATTTATAAAAGGTCTGAGCTCTACAAGTCATATAGTCTTTCAACAATACTGTTTTAGTGGTAAATTGTGATTTAAAGAGCTTCTCGATTTTGATTCATCCGCAACAACAAAAGTGGTTAAAATTAGTGGTTTGAACCACAGATTACTATGTAGTTGCTGTCATGTCAGTGCTCTGTTACAGGTTAAATAGAGAAGAAATTGATTCATTCCAGTCAATTCTAACACTACTGTATGTGTAGAAAAGTTCTGGACAGATAAGCTATTTCTAATAGGTCACAATGAACAGCAAAAGCTCCAACTTTTTAATTTACCCCACCCAGATTCACAAAAAAACATATCTGTCCAAGGGTTAGATTTTTAAGGAATGTTTTGACAAAATGGGGTAGGAAATTACTTCAGCTGATGTAGTTACAGCTTGTCTATGTAACCTCATATATAAGAAGTAAGGCATCTTCAAACAATAAAGCAAAAAGAAAGCTATAATATCAGTCTGCAAGACTGATATTCAGAGCCTCAATGTAGTGGCATTTTATATCAAATGTGCTAGCAGGCACATAAAAGGCACACAATCCCATTCATGTACTTTTCAATGTCCATTTAATTTTCTTTTCTGTAGCACATTCTTCCTTATGAAGTAAAAAATATTCTTCTGGACAGCAAGAAAAGAAAATGAGAGGTGTTGTCTAACACTTGTGGCTGCAGCCTGAGCAGTAGTAATGCAATTATGCTTGCAGGTAAAAAACACTCACCTCCAAGGTGCCTACTTTGTTACTTTCTAAACTGATCTTAACTGTCCCTGCTGACACTACATGCATGGGTATTTGTTTGGGAAAGTTAATTATCCTCTGTGAATCAAACAGAAGTCATGAGCCTGCATATCTTTATGTCTAAGATACAATAGCAGTCGGTGCTTTCAGCTTTCCTGATGTTGCATTTTATTTTACTGATTTTAGGATACTGGGCAACAATATTTTATTTTGCTAGATAATTATTTCTGAAAAATTCTTGTTACAGATTGGACTCTATTACACCTCAGTTCTGGGATCAAAGTGTGTGTAGCAAAGCAATCTACTTGATCATTTACTCTCCGAGTAAGTCCAGATTCCTCAAAGGAAATGATGAAATAAGAATTCACGGGTTGTTAAATAAAAAACTACTATATTTGCAATCTGATAGGCATTTCTTAGCTTGTTCTTTCCATTACTAATTATTTGCTATAAGCAGCAGTCTCACAGAGTCAAAATGCTGTGTATCTGTTCAGTCTCAAAAAGCTATACTGACATGTGTAACTGCAGTGCGAAAGGGAAACATATATAACTTTTATTATCTTGCAGTAAAATAATTATTGACAGTATTTTTATCCTCTGTTAAAGCCCAGTTTGAAAAGAGAGCAAACTAGGAAATAACACTGATTTTTGTCAAGCTACATCTGACCTTAAGCCTAGCTCTGTACTCCTACAAGTAGCAACTATGAAAAATTTCAAAGGATGATTTATTGCAATCCCATTTCCAAAAACAGAAGCATGCTTGAGACAAAAATCAGTGCAGCTAAAAAATCCCTGTAATTTCTAATATCAATCACATTAGCTAAAAATAGAATTGTCTGTATTGGATATAATTTGTTACGACTAAATCAATCGCAGAGGGGAACACCTTACAGTAACATGCAAGCCATGAATTAAATGATTACAATAAATTTGTTTTTCTAGATATTACAGGAAAAACTGGCAAAATAATCTGTACACTTAGGTGTATTAAGCACTACATTATTTTTGGTCCAGAGCTATGAAAAAAAAAAGGAAAAAAAAGGAAAAAAACAACATACAAAACTACAAACTTACAAAACCTACTCCAGAAAAATGTAAAGGAAGTATGAGAACAAAAATTATGACAACTGCCTTTGCTAGAACGTGTAAGCGACGGAGAGTTGCTTCCTGTAGGTTTGAATGACTTAAATAAATATGAAAGTACTGGTTATCTGAAGGCAAGACAAGGATATGTATATAGGTATGTGTCGAGATAAGTCTGTGTCAAGTGAGAAGCGCAAAAGAATTGTTCAACATTGCAGAATAACTGAATAAAGTCTCTGACACTGCAGTAGCTTCTGGAAATTCCAGTAGTATAATTTGTGTCCTGTATTTGGCTGAAGGAGGAAGAAATATTTTGAACTCAATTTAATGCATGTGCCAGGTGCTTGGATTAGCAGCTCTGAAGAATGAAGTCCAAAGCACAGAGCAGCATTTCTGTCCTATATATTCTGTCTCATTCTGAAGGTTATGCTTTCTTTAGAGACAAGAGTGTAATTTCATCTCCATGTTCATTCAGCTCCTGGCTCAAAGCCCACGGAATCGGAGAGAGAATATTTCACCAATTTCAGTGGGCTGCAGTGTCAACCTTCTGTCCTGCAAGCCATTTCTCTGGCGAGTAACTCTGAGTAAGATGTTCTAGGACTGCACAACTTGACTTCTTTTTCAAGACTAGGGGAGCTGTGTCTAGACATGGACATGTAACCCCTAGAAAGACCCCCAGCACATTTCTCACTCACGACAACACTGAAAACCTACATTTGTCTTGCATTCTCTCAAGTTTTGCTTGATATGACTCCTTTCTTTCTTTCTCAGACAATGCTGTCCTTTCAACGTGTTCGCTTTCTTAAGGCAGGAGACAGTTCTGTATCTTTGAAAAAATTTGGGTTGTCTAATGCCACTAGTCAGGTCAATCAGAGCACTGTGTGAGAGACTGTCTCCAAACAGCACAGTGTTGTTAAGAAAAATCAAACCTTTTTGCCTCTAATCAGACACGGAGAAATAAAGTTATCCTGGTTTTATTTTAATAAGTGATGATTTTGCCAGTATTTCACCAGGATTATCTAATTTATTTATTTTTCTAATTTAAATGAGGTGAAAAATGCAACACACAGACAAGTATCTAGACTAGAAGTATCTCTGTTAAGCATTAAATCAGGAGAAGACAAAATTCAACTAACTGAAGAATGCAGTGACTTATAAAAGAAAACTTATTGCACATAGGGTTTTTTTCTTGGTCCTAAACACTACCGAGCTCTTTGCTGATTGAAATAATTAATATCTGTAATATTTTCCTGTGGACAACAGGGGGAAACCACATTGTGGCTGACATAAATAATTGCTTTCTTACATTTACTTACTTTCTGCAGTAATAAATACGCATAAGGCTCAGTTTAAGAATTTCACAATATGCTTAAATTTCTGATCAAGCTGATTTGAATTAAGTTCACTATGCTAACCTTTTCAATAGAACTTTACAACATACTATAAAACTGTTGTTTAAACAATGCTTCCCATAATTACCACCAATAAATGATACCTTTTTATTGCCATTAGAACACTCTCAGTTACCGGTTTCCAGAGATTGCTGCAGTAATCTGCACATAACTTTGTCTTATGTTGCTAATAATTGTATGGTTTTCTTTTTAGAATTCTGAAACTGGAAAAGCTTAAGAAAACATGCAAAATGCTGAGGATACACGTAAGTGAAATATTTAATGTCCATCATTCATAAAAGTTACATTGTTTACATAGGGTTCATTAGTATATAATAAAAATGTCATCTTAATGAAAGATTTTTCTGGCAAATCTTTTATATGTTAATTTGTTTAACATATGCTTTGGCTATACAGCTAAATAGGAATATATTTTAAAAAAATCTTTCTGCAAATAGTTGCTTAACAGTTACAAAACCTCATTACTAAGACGTGGTTATTGTTACACTTGCTGGCTGGCTTGTAAAAATCATCTGTGATTTGGACTGGGAATCTTAGGACCAACTTCCTGGTATATAATACTTGCTCATTGCATAGTGACCATGTAAACAGCTCAGGGATCCACAAATTCTATCCTTGTACTCTAAAAGTAACTGAGGATTTTACAAACTGTACTGATCGTGTTTTCTTGTACTGATGAAGAATTTGGGGATTGTTTTACTATTGATGCTGATGGGAATTTATTTTTTAAAACATGTCAGTTTTATACAGGAAGTTAAAAAAACTAAAAAGTTAACACCAAAGGAAATACTTTTACACTGCGAGACAGTATTGCTACCTCATTGTTTTTGATTTTAGATATATATATAGCATATTAGAACTGCACTGTACTGCTTCTTTTCAAAAGAAAAGTTTAAATTAGTTGGAACAATTAACTATGTGTTTACATAAAGTTAACTATGTTTGCATCAAATAAAATGTTTATTAATGAAAGCTATCATACAAGAAACATCAAAGAGAAATTCATTATACAGAAATGTACACTATATGTGACAGATGGAAAAGTGCATGCAGATTTGTCTCATTTAAAAAAAATTAATTCGGAAACAATAGTACTAAAGTTACTGGGTTTTGATTCCTATGATCTTGGATGAGTGAAAAGTTCTCTTTGAATTTACAAAAATCCATTTAACAGATATGACTAGTACACATTAGCAAGCAAGTGGAATGAATGCACTCAGATTTTATTTTACAAGTACTTGTGCTTGACAAATGTGATTTTTTTATTTTCTTTTTTTTTAAGAAAAGGTTTCGTCGAATGTGGGCTGGGTAGATTGCTGCCAGGTTGCTCTGGTTTTATACATAGTTTCTCTAAATTTGTTTTTGATACCACACAATTTGCTGAAGCCTTCGGTTCTGTTAATTAGACACCATAAAATAACATATGTTTTGTTAACATTCAGGAAATGACATCGAGTCTTTTATTTTTTTATTTTTTGGCTCAATAGATTTTTAAATGTATGATTATCATAACCTAATATTGTCTTTGTCTTCACTGCAGTGGATTTCCGATCAAACTTTTCCCCTTCTTTTAATACTTTAGGGAATTTTCAAACGTCGGGATGTTTGGCTGTAATGCCCCATGATTTGTTCTCCCTGAAAGAAATCATAGTGACAATTTATTAAACTACAGAGCAACCTGGCTTTTCGGGGTCTGCAATTCTATTTTGTGTTCAATATACCTAGCATTAAATCTGGGTTCATTTCATCATACTATTTAGGTTATATTTGTCATGCAATTACTTTAGCTGCTAGTTTTCTGGCTCTTTTAGAAGTCTAAGACAGGGTTTCAATATCAAATCAGTGGGGCATTACTTTGCATGTTCAAAAAAGGAGCTTAAAAGGCTAAAATCTAAATTGCACCGGCAGTAGCACATACATCGAATACGAAGAAACTGAAAACCTAAGAAGGAACCATATTTTAAAAAATTTAAAAGGTTGTGTTTCTGTGTTTAATACCAATTGTTCAGAGATACCGTAAAAGTAAAGAGACGCACTGGTACACAGAGACTTTAAATTTAAAAAAAAAGAAAAGAAAAGAAAAAAAACCAACAACGAAAAATTGATGGGAAATAAAACTCCTTAGATTCAAAATGGTTTATTCACACAAATTTAATAGGATATATCACAATTGTTTGGTCCATAAATATTTAGGGGAAATAGTTTCTATACAATGCATTTATCAATAAACAAAGAAACATGGACAATTTTGCTAGACCACTTACTGTACTATAAACACGAAGCTCAATATATAAGATTATTGGATTTATCAACTATATCTGAAAGAGTGCACAACTGCTTTCTATGACATGTTTGTCCCCTCTAACAGGATACACCATAAAAAGAGTTTCAGAAATAAGAGGTAAAACAGTACAAAACTAGTGAGGTGTCAAAAGGGCTTAAAACAGTTAATTTAACAAACAACACATATATCCTGATTTTTCACAAACTTACTCCCAAGGTATATCATAAGGCACATAGTAGAACTGAGTTTTAATTAGTCTACTTAATAAAGTAGATCTCTAGTACCATATATTGTTCTGTCAAAGAACAAAATTTATAAGTATCAATATTTTTACCTGTAAAAGTGTATTAATAAAGATCTCAGCCTTACCAAGGTCGTTTGGTCTGGTTAGTGGTAAATGCCCATAAGGTAATAGAAATAGGAAAAGTCAAGATTCAATATCCGTAGAAGATGATAACCATACTTGCTAAATATATAATGGCAAACACACCTTTCTTCTATTACAGTGTTAACATCTCTTCCGTCATCTTTTTTTAAAAATAAGCTACTTTTCTGTGCTAATTTTCTAAAAACCCTGAGCAAAAATTACAATAATGCACTTTAATGTGGGCAGTGAACTGTCAATATGTAACCACACATTTATACAGCCAAAAAGGACACCTTTAAAATATATTAAATAGCCACTTTGACCACCAAAAAGAGATTTGATGGTGTTTAAAAAGTGGGGTATATGTGCAAAGTTATTCTTAACAATCCACTAAAAGCAAGACATAGATCTTGACTGGTTTTTGTTCGGTTTTGTTTCTGAGACTCTCCACAATCTAATTGGTGTTCAACTACAATAAAAGGATACAAATGAACATTCACCACTGCCCAGACCATTCAGACTTTTAGCTTAAATAAAACTAAAAAAGAAAGATCACTACTGTAAACTAAGAAATGTATTCAGATCAGCATCCACAAGGCTTCTGAGTTTATCGGCTTTGAAGTTATTCACTGCCAATTCCTGGTTTTGTACGATTTTTGCTGAGAGTTTTTTTTCTACAAAGTTTAAAAAGTTAAAGTATATGTTAGAAATATTAATGAACTAAAGATTTTTAAGTTCCTGTGTTAAACAAAGTGTCTGATACAATCTCAGGAAACATCTAAAGTAAATTCAAAATAGTGATGAGTAAATTGTACTGAAATAATTTTCCTTAAACATCTTAATAAATTATATTTTGCTTATTTCCATTTTCCCTGAAAAAAAAAAAAGTAGGATTTATCAAAAATTCATTTCAATAATGCATAGGAATATACCTTCCTGGAATTTATTTCTGTGCTCACTAAAGTAGCTGGGCAGCCTCCTGTGTGCTTTGATGGTGTGGCATCAAAGCCATGTAACAAACTGCAATTTTTAGGTGTGTTTTTTTTTTTATTTCCAAATCAGAGCTACTTGACAGACAAAAATTAAAACTGTTCCCTATGCAATATTTCAGATCAGTAGGACTCCTCACCTGCATTGTTATTCTGATACTATTAATTTAATAATATTCTTATAGGAGTGAGCCCATTCTGCAGGGCTTTTTTTCCCAGATCTTGTCTTCTTAATGTACAGGACACAAATTTGGAGACCAGCGGCCTGATCCTGCCATCCTCACCCACATGCACTCTCATCACTGGATCTCTCTCTCTCCAAGCCCTCCATCCAGGCATGGCTTTCAGTGGTGGCCAAGGACGTCCCAGCTGGGTGAAGAACTGGCAGAGGAGCATTTAGCTATCCCAGTGAGATCCCCAGTGCTCAGGGAGGATCAGGCTTGTGACTTATGCCTTAGAAAAGAGCCTTGGCGCTTCCAGTCTGACTGTTGCAATGGTTCGTTTCATTAATTTTGTATTTATTATTCAACATTTAAAAAAATAAGTCATACAAAACTTTTAGGTGCATTATAAAAATGAAATTAAATTTAGGGTTCTTAAATGCTGTGAGTGAACATACAATCCTGAAGCAGCATTCTTTTGGTGCTGGTTTTTATCTGGTTATGGAGGAGGGAAAGAAACTTTTTTTTGTTTCTTTTTGTGGTAACAATCAATTTTTTCAAGGTTCTGGAAATAAGTAACATACAATTTTAAGAGGCACTTATGAGAATGATTCATAACCTTCTCTCCAGTCATTTGATGAATTTAAAAAATTTGAGTACAATTTAACAACAATAAATGTTCATTTGTTATAGCAACATATTACTTCAAACTCATTTGCCAAGTGGCTGCAGATGCTACACATCAAGCTGTTTATTTTCCCAAATATTTTGTGGGTTTGTTGGTTTTGTTGTGTTTTTTTTTTTTAAAAAAAGGCTTGAAAATAATAATAATAATTATAATAATTATAATAATAATAATAATGAAGAGTAAGAATTAAAAAAAAAAAAAACAACTGAAATGTTAGAAAAGGTTCGTTAAGGTAGTTTGTGAGGGGCTCCCGGATTCGTGGCTGTCCAAGTTAGAGGTCACTGATGTCACTACAGTGATAGTGGGATTGGTCAGGTCTGTTAAAGTGGTCGCAGTGCCGGGTGGAGTGAGTGCGCCGCTGTCTGCTGAGGGCGGTGCCGGTAGTGAGGTGCCATCAGCTTTATCGACACCCCCATTCTCCTGCCGCAAAAGGTTCCTTCTGAATTTGGCTCTTGCGTTTTGAAACCAAACCTGCAAACCAATCCCAATTGATTTCTTTACCGATGCTTGTTTTGTTTTGCTCTTTTTTTTTTTTTTTTTTTGTTTTTGTTCTTGCTTTCAAGTCATTTATTTGATGTTTGGTTTTTTGTGTGTGGCACATCACCTAAGTCATTCTACAGCCATTCTTGCTACTGGTGGTACTGTCTCTCTCAGGCCCAGTGGCCCAGTGCTACAGGTGCTCACTGGAACGTCACAGCCCAATGTGCAGCCCTTTCAGAGCAGCCCTGAGAAAAATCTACTCATTCAATCCCCAAATGAAAGCAACTTTCTTGATGGCCAGGTAGTGTTCCTTGGGTTGGGTAGCTTTGGGGTCAAGACACATGATAAAGGTTGAGGCGAAGGGTGAATGAGCAGATTTTTGCCAAGGTTAAAAGTTTGCCTTGATTATTTGAAAAGGCTGAGGAGGATGGAGGGGTGATTACACCACCTCTATCATACAGATTGTTGATATGGGTCACCTGGTCTTTCTGTTCTGTAAGGTTCACTGAAAATGTTTTAGGTGACATGTAACACAGACAAGGAATTGCCGCTAATAGATTCTCCTACCTCCATCTCTGCCCTTCTTTGGCACTCTGCATATAATACACACCTCACTTTAACTTCCCTGAGCTAGCACACACCATGTAGGGGTTTTTTAACATAATTCACTAGGCTTTCCTTCATAGGGAAGTGACTTTTGACTATGTAGGCCCTTAATGATAACAGATGCCTAACAAGCATTGAGAGAGGGAGCCAGCTGGTCCTGGAGGATCATGTTGGTCAAAGCTTGCTTCAAACATAGTGGGGGATCTTAGTGAGGGGCCACATTATCTACTTCTGGGGAGCCCAAAGGCTTCACCCGGTGTGCATAAAATCAGTGTATTTGCTACCTCTACCCTTAGTGAGGTCACCACAGAGAGACTACCAGTCACAGGATACCTGCTGGGTTGGTAGACTCTGAAGACAGTTTCCTCATGTTGAGGTTGCCTCTAATTGTAAATCACACCTTCGTATTCGGCTGCCTTGGGGCAGTGAGGCAGACATTCGGCACTCCTGCCACGTAATACCAAACCCCTCTGCACACCCACTAGGGACACACCTAGCAAAGGTATTTCTATGTATACTGCTGTTATTACACATAAGGGAAATGCTGTCGACTAGCAGGGGTAGGGGGAAATGCTGTCAAGCCTGCGATGTGGCTTCTTACCTGCAGAACTCTCTTGGTCAGGCCTGTTTTCTGGGCAAGCTGCTTGAGGTCCTTGGCATCTGGGTTGTGGTTGATGGCAAAGTAGGACTTCATGGTACGGAGCTGGTGGTGTTTGAAGGAGGTGCGCATGCGCTTTGTCTTCTGGGACGGGGGATAAGGCTGCTGGTCTCTGTCCAGGTGATCTGCCTCATTCTCATTACAACCTGTTCAATAAACAAGGTGGAACAAGGAGTTAGTGGCCACACATCACGTAGGATACCAAGGCAAAAAAATCTTGAGTCGCATACAGTTTAGAAGGAAGCAAACAAGCAAGAAAGGAAGGCAGGAAGGGCTAAGATGCTACGAGGATACATCCAGACGTGATAATTAAATTAGACCCAAAAGATCCAGAATATTATAGTTTCCTATTCTTAAAACATGCTATGTCCCCAGGCCTGTACCTACTAAGGGCAGATTTAGAAAGTTTTCTCTCCTTTAGCATTTATTCTTTTCCCTGTGGTGATGGTTTGGCTTTGGGCATTCAAAGAGTCATTTGAAATCTCATTCAGATTTTGAAATCTCACTCATTGAAACACTCTTTGCTTGAGAGAAGAATAAAGGTCAAACTAGCGTTTTGAATGTTCCTGAGCTTTTCCCCAAATCACAAGCACCTATAAAAGGAGATGTACAGCAGGAAAGTTTCTTATGACAGTTCATCAAGAAGGTGTAAAATCTGTAGTGGTTTTGCTGATAAAATAAATGCTTTTGGACTCTGCCTGGGAGTTTATATGAGCTGCTCAAAGACCTTAATCTGTAAAACATGTCTAGAAAGCAATTGTATCAAGGTCTTGATTCAGTCCCTTAATCCCAATCCCAACCAGCAGTAGCTCTTAGTTGATGCTGATTTAGGACATTTCTACAAGCAACCAGTTAGGGGCTCAAAACTTGAAAAGAGCTTCCCTGGTTTTCCTGATTCAGGATTTTCAAAGTGTCTAAGATAAGTTTGTTCCAGATTACACTTTTATGGATGTGAACTGTATACAAGAGCTGCAGCTCCTTGGGAACAGTGGCATTATTACTTCATATTGGGGAAAGAAATTACAGTATTGGCAAAAAGAAGTAAGAAATATATTTATATTTTTCTTTTCAGCATAAACAGAAGGGTTAGTAATTTCTAGGCTCTTGTTTTATAAAGATAGCTCAGTCTCACAGATGAAAATTATTGGTGTCATCATAGCAGGGAATATTAATTAAAGAAGATCTAATTAAAAGTGTTTCAGAATGTCTGTAAATTAAACCAAGTTTCATTAGTTGTTCATTTGGACTTCTGAACTGCTTTCCAACACTTACTGGATTATTTACAAGGTCTATCTGATCCCCACTCCTAATTTAAAGGAGAGAGAGAGAGAGAAAGAGACAAAGCACACAATACCAAGTGACTGATGTCGGTAGTGCTGAAAACAGAGACAAAGCAACTTGAAACCAGGAGAAAATAAAAAGTTTCTTGAAGGTGTTTTCTCTTTTGAATTATAAGACAAGTCAACATGAACAGATGCTGGTAAGACAACACTTTGACAGAAAGTCAGGTGAATATTTAATTATAGCTAGCTTTGCTTCTAGTCTTGGTGAGAAGTATATCTGCACTTTCAAACAAAGTAAGCTGACACTTCTGAAAATATCAGGAGTTGAAAGTTGCCTTAAAAACAATATCAGGCCAGATTTGGATTGTATTTACTACTTGTTTTCACAAGCAATCACACTGCCTTCAGTCAAACTGCGTGGGCTGTAACTTATGAGCTGACATAAATCAGAGTACCAGAATTCAGTCCTCAGATTTTACTTCAGAGTTGCAAGCTGCTTGTTTGTGTTGTTTTCCCTGGTTTTACAGTAGCAACACAAACTTCCTCTGTCCTGCTTGCTGCCTTTGCTTCTGTACTCTTTTTTTTTCTTTTTTTTTTTTCTGTCTGTGATCTACTTTATTTTAGCTTTTATTTTCAAGAGAAAATGAAAATAGAGCTCCAAGCATCCTTAGACAGTCCTGCACAATGATTACAGCTCACTCTCGGTTTTACAAGGGTGAAACAGTGTTATGTGGTTTGGCCACATCATAGAGCAGAGTTTTACACTATCTCCTGGAAAACTAAGGGGAAGAAAAAATCAGGCAAGACATTATTGCTCATTTCTTTGCAGTGGGCTGGAGGGTTGTTTAATTTTGCTTTCAAAAGAGCTAGAACAGTTTGCTCCTTACTGCCAAGAATTCTTCAAGTGAACTCTTCATAGTTTTTCACACACACACACATATAATGAAATAAAGTAAACAGCTCTTTGAGCAACAGCTGTGTAAAATATTTTCCTAGGGAAATCTTCTTCACCATCTCATTTCTGTATCCTGTGAGCTGTAAGTCAACACAGTTTCCCACAAAATGCATATTAATTCTATGATATAAGAGTTGATATAGAGAAGGCTTTGAACGTTTTAAGTACTTTTGAATAGTTTCTTCCATCTTTCACAGTGATTCCAGACAGCTCGCAGGTATGAATGACTTTTACAGCATAACATTTTGAGTTATTTATTGTTGTGTCTCCACTTTACAACCGAGGAGCTGGGGAACAGAAACTACCAAACAAAATGTAGAATAGAAAAATTGTTGTAGATCCGGCAGCAGGGTCGGATTTTCCATTCTGGGCCTGAGCTCAGCTCCCCTGAAACATGATGTGGACAGAAATCTGAGCCAGGGCCTGCGGGATGGCCTGTGAATGCACACCGCTTATGCTCAGCTGGGTGAAGCTGTTCCAGCTTCGCCGGGGTTTGGTTTTGAAAGGTCGAGTTCGTTTCCCATAATGGCTTGGCACACGGGCGCGGACACCCGCGGGGGTCTCTGTTTCGGGAGGGCACCGCCTTGGCTTGCCGGGGAGGTTAAAGCCGTGGTGCCCACCCAACACGGAGTGGCAAGAAGAAGCTCTGGCTGCCGGCTCGGAGCGGGGTGTCCCGGCCCGGGGGAGCTTCAGCGCAGAGCTGAGCCCGGGGCAGGGCCGCGCCCGGGGCCCCTCGGCCCTCCCGTCCCAGGGGAACAGGGGCAGCACCACGGCAGGGACACGGCCCGCCCGGGCTGCCCGATGGGCTGCGGGGTCCCGCTCCTCCCTTGGAAGCGCTAATCGTGCACCCGACATTTAGTTTTCTGTGCGCTGCTTGCCCTTTGTAAATAATTACGTGCAGCAGCAGTTACTGAGTCACAGGGAAGGGAACGAAAAGTGTGTGTAGGGAAGTGGCTGCCAATTAGCTGGAGATTTTTTTTTTTCTCTCAAGAAGAGATTTCATCGACTGCAACTCATTTCGTAACTGTTACGGATTCACTTTCCTCCCCCTGGATATGGAGGCAGTGGGTCATTGGGCTGGAGTCGTTTGCACCGGATACACGGTTTGGCTGCAAAATGTACTTTCTCGACTCCATGTGTCAACCCTGGACATTGCTAGATAATACTTAAAAAAAAAAAAAAAAATCACGGCCCTAACAGAACGTATTTCTCAGCCATCTAGCCTGAGTCCAAAACATCAGATTCGAGCGTTTGCTGATTTGTTGTTGGGGTTTTTTATTCTCTCTCTCTGTTGCCTGGAGGATTCTGTGAGATCTCAATGCAGTGAGATGTATTTTCATAACGGGCAGTGCTTTTTAATCTCGCTTGGAGTCAGTGGTACATCTTATATGACCCGTTGCTGTAAAGAAGGGGAGTTTTAAGACTAGCTCACAAAAACTATATCTGCCTACGCAAATAATGTCTCTCTTGAGTCCTGAACTGAAGTTTAAGAGGTTTGTCCTACCCACAACTCTTCATCCTTCCCTAATTTCTGGTCCTAATTCTAACGCTAAATTGCCCCTAGTAATATTTCCGTTTAGGAATCTCGGGGACTCGGGTGACAGTGTGTGGACCAGGGATAGCACAGAGCGGAGCGCGGGCGCACGGAAACTCCACCATTCGAAGCCGGGGCTGAATGAGTCCTGGCTGCGCTACAGGTTCCTTTTTCTTTAGCAGCTTTCAGGATTGATTGGAAGCTGCTCCGTAGCCAGGGATTCCAATGTCATCTTCAATTAACAAGGAACAATTAGCGCAGTGATTACCCTGGCTCCAAGGTCTACGCATCAGAGGATATGAAATCGCCTTGCACAGCTCCCTGGTTCCCAGCTAAAGCCCGTTTCACAAGCGGCCCCAGAGGAGGTGCCGGGGGAGGGATGGGGAGGGCAGGGGGGCGGTGGAGGATTTCTTATGGATCTCAATGGCAGCGGGTTGAACTTGGTGGAGGGGAGAGTGCTCCAGGCCGACAGCGGAGCGCTGCTCTCGGCCACGACTGTCGGAAGGGGAGGCCCTGACCCCTGTCCCGGTTACCAGTGGGGCCAGCGGTTCGCAGCCCTGGAGCCGGGACGGCTGCCGGCTTCGTGATGAAGCACCTTGCACCTCTCCTGCTTCTCACAGCTTTCTCTCCTCGTTAACGTCCATCGGGAGCTTAAGCTTCGCTAAAATAATTCTGGAGTTAGGAGTTTGCTGGTTCATATTTACCCTTACTGCTTTCGTCTTCCATCTAATGAAACTCTGCCTCAACTGCTTGACCTGAAACTCCTTTGCCTCTGGCCACTTGCACTGTCTGTTTACACACGGTTTTGGTACTTAAGTAACCGGACTTAGGAAAGACATTTAATACAGGGTAACACTTTTTTTCTTTCCTACTGCTGAGATGATAGAAACAGTTCTCCTTAATTACATTTTTTAGGGTTTAGTTACATGGAACAACATGTATTCGTTGACCTCTTGTACAGTTTGATCATTTATGTGCCAGTAAAACAGAATTATTCAGCCTGAAGAATTAATCACTATAAATTGAATATCTAAATCGAGTTATGTGCATACTACATTGGCATTGTAGGAGCTGTATACTATAACTTTCATTCTATTTTTTTTCTGATTCATTTGGTTACTTCTAATTCGAGGTTTAAATGGTGAAATACTTTTAGCTAACTAAATATAAATAATGGTAACACTTCCTCTAAGATTCCTATAGAGAAAAAGCTATGTGATTTTGGTGTTGGGTTGGGGTTTTTTCCATTTCCCTTTTTTTTTTCTTTTTTGTCTTTACCCTGGGAAGTGGCTAAGTTTGGGTGTTTGACATTAATAGGCAAAGACAGCCTTTGAGGAGGGCTGCTGTTAGCTTTCCTGCAAACGCTCCAACCCTCAGAGGGCTGTTTGTTTGATTTTCCAATGGTTAAGCAAGATTTGGCCTGGCTGAGTTACTCACGCACCGCCTAGCTGAGAGGAAGCCCGAGAACGCTCTGTTCGGGGGAGCGGGAGGCAGGCTCGGCGTGTGTTTCCCACCTGAGTTGTAGCTGACGATGTCCACTCCCAAGGCAGGGCTCTTTCTTTTCCTGGGCCTCCCCTTCTGGACCGTGCCAGTGCCGTTAAAGTAAGGCAGGGCCAGCCCTCCGCTCTTGGCAGCCAGCTCGGTGTAGCTCAGCTGAGGGGGATATTCTCCTTGCAAAAGGGACTCGAAGTGGGCCCTGCAGTAAACCAGGTTGTCCTTCATGCCAAAGTGATCGCCCGTGGTCAGAGTCTTGTTGCAGGTGGTGCAGGTGAAGCAGCTCAGGTGATAAACCGACTCCCTGGCTCTCATGACCATTTCAGAGGCTGAGATCCCAAGGTGGCAGCGGGCACATCTCTGCACGGAGAACCTTCTGGAGGAAACGGAAAAGTGGGCATCAACTAGAACGGCAAAGACAGAGCTTGCCCCCGTGCCGCTCGCCTTCTCTCCCGGCCACGGGAGGGAGCCTGGCCACGACCCTGGCCCCAGGATGGCCCGTGTCACCGGCTGTGGCCCCTGGCCCTCCCGGTGTCGGGACACCCTCCGGGAGCCGGTTCTGGGGTCCCAGGGTAAGCGACTCGCCCTTGCGGCTGAGCTGACCTGCTCTCTCGGGATCTGGGCGAAAGCCCTCCCGCTGCCCGTGCGCAGGGACGGGGGCAGGACGGGGCGGGGGACATCGGTCCCCGCTCTCCTGACATTCCTGTCAAGACCAGAAGTGCCGCGGGGAGCTGAAGCCCCGGACAGCTGTAAGGCACGGATCAGGATCAGCAGTGCCCGCTCCCGGGGCCCGGGCACCCTCCGTGGGGCTGAGCGGGGGCGGCGGGTCCCCGGACCGCGGGGAAAGCCGGCAAGCTGCGGGCAGAGGGGAATTTTTGTTGGGTCTTACGCTGGTATTTACGGAGGGAAACCGCCGGGCAGCGGGAGAGCCTTCGCCTGTTTGTGCACCGCCACACATGCTCAGTCAGCGCGTCCCCTGACGGTCCGTCCAGTTTTTAAACGTGCGAGACTTTTCGGAGGGGACGGGTTTACAGGATTAAGGAATCGCTGACTGCGAAAAGCTACCTTTGGAAGCCCATGTGGAGAAAAGAGCGTTTCGGTTCATAATGTCTTTTGAGGGGATGTACTTCTGAACCCATAGGGACTTATTGCTGTACCTGTAGTAATCCTCCTTGCAGTAAATACTGCCGTCCTTGGCAAAGCAGGTGAGTTCTGACTCCAAAGCCAGTTTACATTCACAGCACTTAAGACACCTGAGGTGCCATTGTTTGTCAACAGCCAGCAGGTAATATCTGTCTGAGATCTTCCCTCCACAACCAGCACACAAAGCAGGCTTCTCGGGGCTCATGGGGGGCATGTTCTGCAAAACAACCACACCACAAGGGATGAGACAGGGAGAGAAAGACAGGCAGGCAGGCTAGGCTGGGGACTGGTCCTGCGCGGGGCCCGGGGCTCGTACAAAGGCACTGCTCTCTGGGACCAAACTCTGCTCCCGGCTGGAAGTTTAAGGGGTAGCCGGGACCATCCCCGCTAGTAAAGTGTTTACCGCGATTCAGCTTTCTTGTTTATACCAGTAAACCTCTTCTAACGATCTAGTGTCATATCAGTACGTGAAGGCAACTGATTAGGCCACAGTAAGAAAAGAAGAGCTCATTCTTTTCTGAAGTACTGAAGTTAAACTCTGCGGCTTCCTCTTTACTTTAGCATTTTAATCTTAGAGCACTTCACAGGAACAGCATTTTAAAGCAGGAAAATACTGTTTTCCTGTTCCGAAAGTTTATGGCAGAGGGTTCAGGCTTGCACTCGTTTTACGCCAAATCTTTACCCGTATTTAAACGAGCTGAAACCGCATCTCTAAAGAAAGTCAGGCCATTTAAAACAGGAGTAAGAAAAAGAAGACAGGTGGATGATGTAAAGAGCAGTGACCGGGAACGCTCACCAGCACGGCCAGCGACATGGGCAGAAAGGTGGCACAGGCTGGTTTCAGCTCAAACTTGCATCTTTTTGTCAGTAAACTTCTGCAAGTTCCCATTGATCTGCTCCCCACGAGGAGTGTCGCTCGGGACAAAAGGAGATGGAGGGACGGCGGAGACAAAAGCTCTGCCGTGAAACTTGGTGCAGCATTTGCTGATAAAGTAACAGGGGAAAAAAAAAAAACAAACCAACAACAAAACCAAACATCTTGTTCTAAAGTTGCAACTGTTTAAAGTGGCAACTCCACATTCATTTTTTCCAATATGAAGTTGTGTCCCCCCCCCTTTTTTTTTTTTTTTTTTTGCAACAATTGAAAAGGCGAGTTAAATTTACATTGCAAATCCTCATATAACAAAGCGTGAGTTTATTTAAGAGGAGGGGGAAACGACCCTATGGCCCAAAGCCTTAAAGCAGTTTTTCAGGCCGTTACTTTGTGTGCAGAGCCTTGTGCGCGATCGGCGGAAGCCCTACAAGTTGGAGAAAGGGAGATCTCGCTTTGCACAAAGCCCAGCGTGACACTCGATTTCTCCAACATCCCTCAGTACGTATCTGAAGACTTTGATTCTTTTGACTACCGAAAGAGGAGATGTTACTTCTAAGCAAAGTAGTCGGCCGGCGTAACATTCAGAGAGAGCGGTGCCTCTTCGTATCAATCACACATTTCAGACCAAAAACAGCTACAAAAAGTAAGCAGTAGCGGTCTGTGGTTTAATTTAGGAGGTGCCAGGAGTGCAGAAAAAAAGCACAGCACAACCTCGGGAGCTCCAGCTGCAGCCCTGCTCGGAGGGGTCAGAGCGGCCGCAGCCGGCCGAAGAGGGGCAAAAGGCTGCTCCACCGCAAGGGCTGCAGACCCGTCCTTGGTACGATTTAAAATAGTTTCCCCGTTGCTCCAGAGAGCACACGCAACAACATTGGCTAGTCAAAGGTAATAACCGAGCCTGGCCAGCACAGCACCCAGCGTTACGGGTGGGTTTACAGGGAGCCTCGGAAGGGTTTCGACAAGCAAGGGGTGGCAGGGAAGGGTAACGGGGAAGCGGTGCCTTTCTCTTCCCCAGAGCCACGGTCTGTCCCGGTGCCGGTCCATGCTTGCAGGGATTCCCTTGCAAAGAATGCCAGCTTATTTCTTACCGTTTCTCGGCCGTTCATCTGTCCCCCTTTGGCCAGGCGGGACTCGGTCTTGGATCGCCTCTCCATCTCCTCCATGATTCCTTGGATGTGGCCTCCGGAGATCCCGTGGAAAAGCATGGCTGGGGGACGGAAAGGACAAGTATTTTCTTCTGCTCTGCACCCCACTATTTCCATATACAGACCCCAGAGTCTTTAGATCATCCAAAATGTTTACACCGAGGCGCACAGCGCAGGGAGGGAGGTTGCAATAGGAGCTTCTCTTTGCACAAGCACCGAGGGCTTCCTGAAGATGTGCAGAAAACAAACAAGGGGGAGAAAACGTAATAATAATTAGTTCTAAAAATAAAATAATAAAAGCGAGCTAAAGGATCTGTTACTGTTCTGGAGAGCTGGGGCTCCTGACTGGAGAGACTTGGACCTGGGGCAGTAGAATCGGTCGGGAAAGGATATAGTTTTGAATACAAAGAAAGCAAAAAGAAGTGCTATTTTCAGCAGTCCCTGGTTGCTTTAAAGTTCCCAGTGCCTGTAGGTTGGATTTGGGACTGCTGCTTTCCGGAGCTCTGTCCAATTTGTTAAGAGACTAAAGCCAGCCCATTTTTGATAATTTAGTAGGAGGAGTTCTCTCCCTTGAGCTGCCGCTGATTTTTATTCAGACAACAAAGACCTGTCATACTCCTCTCAACCCCTAGTGATGGGCAAGCAGTGACAAACATTACGGTCGGGGCTGTGGGTGGGGTGGGGTTTATTACCTCCCCCAAACACGGAGTCCCGGGAGTTGGCGGCGACGGCGCCTGGAGAGGGGCAGGGTGGCCCGGGGGCCCCGCTCCCCTCCCGGGGGCCCCGCTCCCCTCGAGGCAGCGCCGCGGGAACCTCCGCGCCGCGGGAACCTCCGCTCCGCGGCCGCCCGGGCTGGCACCGCCTCTCCTGCCGCCGCCGCGGGAAGGGGAGAAGGAAGAGAAGCGCCGTGGCGGGGCAGCCGAGGCGGGATGGAGCGGCCAGACTGCTCCCCGGACCCGGGGGGCCGCGGAGGAGTGCTGGGGCGGGAGGGAGCTTCGGAAGCAGGAGGGTTCCGCGGAGATGGAGCGCTTACCGGCCCCGCGGAGCCCCCGCCCGCACCCGCAGCAGGACGCGGCCCCTCCGCGGGCAGCCCGCGGGGACAGCCCCGGCAGGCCAGGGGATGCCCTGGCGGGACCGTCTCCCCTCTCCCGCTCCCCGGCCGCGCACTGCGAGCGATCACTGCGTGTAGGGGACTGGGCGATGCATTCCTTCCTGTCTAATCTCCCTGTCTGTTCCCCTTCCCCTCCTTTTCCCGTTTCCCTACTTACTTTTCGCACCAGTCTTCCTTGCCTTTCCCTGAAACAGCTGCCGGCTGTTTCCTGACACCTCGATCCCTACTGAAGGATCTTCCTGGCGGCAGTCCTGAGCTCCCTGCTCCCTGGGGGACACTCCACACCAAACCCGAGTGCGACTAGTGAAAGAAGTACCCCAGCCCCCACTTCCTTTCCAAAGCATCCCAGAGACATCCTCAGGGGCTCCTCGAGTCACCTCTTCCATGTAATCCAAGATTCAGGCAGCCAGTTTCCTCCCTTCTCTTTCCCCCGAAGTAGCTAAAATTAATGTTATTTGCAGATTGAATGTTGCTACATTCCTCTGAGTGCCAGAATACAGCTCATAAAACACAATTTCACACAAAGATGAAGTCAATCAAGTGAAATAAGCCGGGATTTTTTTTCTCTGTTGGCACACTAGACCCTGGACAGCAGGGCTGCTATTTACTGTAAGTAATGTAATTAGCCCTTTTGGATGGAAATCAATGTGTTGTATATATGTGTGTGTTTTAATAAGAGAGTAATAGCTATAAAACCAACGAGACTCAAAGGGCTAAGGGAATCTCCCTTAAAAAGGGCAGATCCCTCCACAAGCCATAGTCTCCTGCAGAGCACTCCCGGTCTGGAAAAAAAAAATCTGTGTGTGGGTAATAAGGAGGGAAGTATAGGCTTTCTTTGGAGAAAACAAGTCAATTAACACAATAAGACACCAGGAAAAAATAAACAAGGTGATTCGATCCGGGATACGGGAGCTGTTCGCTCGGGATCCCCAAACCCTTCCCCACCCCCTCCTTTCCGTCGCCCCTCCGCGACGCCCCGGCTGCTCCAGGAGACGGGCGAAGGTGCCTCCCTCTCGCTCCCAGCCCCGCCGGGGAGCGGCTGTGGGGCCCGCGGCCTTTGTGGAGCGGCTCGGAGAGGGGGGAGAGAGGGGCGGCAGCGCTGCGGGCGGGGGACGAACCCCTGTGCGCCCGGCAGGTACCGCCTGGCTTGGGGGATTGCAGCGATTGCTGTCGACAGAAGTCAAAAAAATCTCACTCAGAGACGAGTTTATTTCTAATAGTTGCGATACAGTCTTTCCTCTCTACAGGCACGTTCAGGGGTTGTTTCGGCTTTTTTCCCCTTCGCACTAGATTTTCCTGTATTCCTCTCCAGCTATGTTGTCGGGGTAACTCACCCTGCCTCCGTTTCGTGTTGCTTCTGCTCTCCTGGAAATGTTCTGCCTTTCCCGTGGCGTCCGGGTTGCCAAAGACACCCCGGCGTGTGCCGGGCTGAGACCCCCGCTGACCCCCGCCCGCCAGGGCCGCCCCCGCAGACCCTCCCGGAGGCGCCGCCGCCGCCGTCCCGCTGTGACCGTGTCCCTGCCGGGCTGAGCACCGCCAAACTCATCGCGTCCGCCGGGAGCGGGGAAAGGAGGGGGCTGGGGGAAGCCCCTGGGCGACCGCCGAGCCCAGTTCCCTCCGAGGGCTAAAGTGGGGACACTGAGCCCCCCGAGCGGGCTGTGCTCCCGCCTCTGGTGCTCCGAGTGCGGGCGCCGCTCCCCTCTCCCCTCTCGTCTCGCTTGTCTCGCATTTGCTCTCTCGGGTTCACTGAAATGTTCTGCAGGTGCGGTGTCAAAGTATTGGTCCAAGGGAGAGACATCGAAAATATTGTTTGTTAAATTCCCGTCTCTACCTTGTCTCGACGGCGCCGTTAGGAGTAATTGGGCAGACTCATAACAAAACTCAGAAATGACTGAGCCTCCTCCGGTTGGGCACACTTAATTAATTAGAGGGTCCTTTCTTTCTGCTCCATCAGGTACGGTTAAGGATACGCTACTAGCTACTGCTGCTACAGTAAAGGAGGCCAGGGGTTTCCAAGGCGTTTTCTGATTAACATCCTAATGCTGGCAGACCACTTCTTACCTAAAGGGACACAAAAAGTTTGTTGCTAGCATCAAACGTGACTTCTCCGTTTCCAAAAGGCCTGTAGGAGATCAAGGTAAATCTATTTCAATGTTCCTGAGATCTCATTCCTCGCTGCGAACTGATGCTCCGCTGCTCTGAGGCAGGCTGGTAGCGAGAGGTTGCCATTACAGCACGAGGGGCTCCGTACAGTTTTGCTGGTTTGCTTGGGGATGGGAGAGAAAAGCTCAAAAAGAGCACGACAGGGAATCTAAAATCCAAATCTGCGAGCCTGTCCCTCATGAATCCATAGGCATTAGCAGTTCCTCATTGCAGGGCGCTTTTATCTCCTTTCTCTGCAGCATTTGGGGAAGGATATCTGATGTGCAATATTCAGAATATTTTAGTAACATGACAGGCGCTCTCAGTTTTTTCCTTTTTGTAAGGCTCTACCCGGGCTCCCCAAGCTTATGAGGGGGGGCGGGGGCGGTGGGGGGGAAGGGAGGTTGTGGAATACATCGCTGTGGGGATTTCCACAAGTCCAGCGTTTGCCTGCCCACGCAGGGCTGGAGAGCTCCCACGGACATCGCGCCGCGCCCCGCTGCAGCCCCTGCCCGCAGCCCCTGCCCGCAGCTCCCCGGGCACTGCCTGGAGCCGCTTCCACCTTCGCAATTAGCGTGTGCCCTGGGCAGATTTCAGCGTGCGGTCACTGCGATCCGCCCTGCCGCCGAGCCCGCGTTCTCCCTGGCCACGGGCTACCGTCTAAAGCCCATCACAGCGTGAACGATCTTGTGTTTAGTTCGGAGGATTTAGGGCAAGGTCTACATGCAAATTAATAATTGACCAACAATAATTAGGAGAAAGGGGAGGGTGTTCAGGCGGGGGTTGGGGGTGGGGAGGAGGGGGTGTTCTTTAAGCAGAAATGGTTTGGATTTCGCCTGCCCTATTTGAGGCCGTGGCGTGTCCCGGCTGCATGCGTAGGGCACTGCCCGGGCCAGCCGCCTCCCGCCCCGTAGGGCATCAGGGCTTCACACCCTCTCCGTCAGCACCTGAACTTTTCAAGACACTTCCAGTTTAATCATTTCCAGAAATTTAAAGCGCGTAGTAAAAACAGCAACAGGATTACGATCCTGTTGCCTGCGAGTCGGGTGGTTAAAGCCAGATCTATTTTTAAATCCTAACGCTATTTTCTGCTCTACGAGCTTATGGTGGAGTACAGTGCTACTAATGAACAACCTCATCTCTTTGTGAAGTCCGCGGGTACTACAAGCAATCTAGACACAAAGAAGGAAAATCTGAATAGAGTTACATCTCTCGGCGGCGGTATCAAATGTAGCTAATGTCGTTTTCAGCATTCAAATAGGTTTCTTTTGGGGGGGGATTGGTCTTGTGGGTTTTTGGATTTATTTTTTTTTTTCCCAGCTCGACATTATTTAAAAATCCACTTCGGAGTCAGATACAACATATTTTACCACCACCATCTTTCTCCTCCCTCGAGTCCTCTCGACTGTACCGTGGACCAACTTTCAGATGTGCTAGAGACATGTTAAAAGCCGGTGCATCGCAGCCAGATTCGGGCACCAGCCCCTCTCCTCCCCAGCCAGGCTGTGCGGGGGCTGGCAGTACGAGGGACTCAAGCGCAGGGTATCTTTAACCATAAACGGCATCGGATTAAAAAACCCCAAAGCTCCAATGTGCTTGTACCTCCCGGTAATCTGAAAACATGTCAATTAAGCCACGTATTCATTTGCTTAAGGAGATGATATTTAAATAATAAACAATTAGGTGCTTTGCATGGTAATCCCAAACACATATCTCCATGGTCAAGCGCTGTGACTGACCACAAACAAGTGATCACACAGCCAGAAGAAAGCAGGAGAGGCAGATTATTGTCTCACATGAAACTGTTCACCGCCCAGGACCTCAGCACTGTCGGCTTCTTAGTTGTCTGATATTAACCATAATCGTATTTGTACTCCAGTTGTAATTAAGCCGTTGGAAACCATCATATTTTGCTGCTTTGGAAAAGAACTCCCTCACAGACTAGATTCACAGACAGATGAAAGGAACCATTCCATTAAAAAAAAATAATAAAAGAAAGGCAAAGAACAAGGGCTTTTTTTTTTTTTTTTTTTTTTTAATTGAGCTGAACGGCTCAGCCTTCCCAGGCTGCTATTTTTCTAGATTAAAACATAGATGCATGAAATGTTATTTGCGAATACACCTGGGAAAACTACCATTCTGTGTTGTTAAAAAACCTCAAACAAACACACAACACCACGCCAAAGAAACACCTCGCAAATTACATCCGTGAGGTCCAAATAGCTGCATTGCTAGCAAAGACTCATGCAGGAGCTTACCTTGAAACCTCAGAAGCTTCTTCCAAAATTATACCCTCCTTAATGAGTGATGAGGGATGGGTTTTGGATGGAGAAGAGACGCAATGATCTAGCCAGTAGATGGAGGTTGTTCCTTGTTCCTAGCAGAGGATCCCTATGTTAATTAAAATAAACAAGCTGCTTGGTGGAAAGATTTTTTTCTCCCTCTCTCCCTCTCCCTTCCCCCGCCCCCCCCCATAGCCTCTGATATAGAATTGACGTGAATTTCTAACCTCTGACCTCCCGCCAATATACACTGATACCTGCCTTTTATTTTCTGTTTGTTTCGAAATATTTTCCAAAACAAATAAATAAATAAACACGAAGAATATTGAATGAAAGCAAAAAAATAAATCCCACCTCTCGATTTTGGCTGGTTTGCTGGATTTTCTTGATTAGCTGTCTCAGCTCCTCAGTAATCAGGTGAGGTGTTAATGGGGAGCTGGTTGTAAATAAAACTAATAAAGCAAAGAACATATTAGGAAATTAAAAAAAGGCGAGGACTGAGAGGCTGTTAAAAATATTGTAGCGAGCTGAGCGTTTCCCCATCACGTCGTTTTTTTCGTTCTGTGCTTATTCACAGCTGAGCAGCAAACCCCGGGTTGTTGCCATCTCTCCACATTTTTTTTTTTTTCAAATCGCACTGAACCAGCCATGGACTGCATCAACCCTTCCCACTTTCATAAAAAGCCTCTCAAATGGAGTCGCTAAACAGCAAACTTCAGCCTGATCTGATGTGATATGATATACGGATTCATGGAGCAACCTCGCTTTGCCAAACCCGATGAAACTGTGAGTTGTCATGCAATACTACGCAGTCAAACCTGGGATAATTGTAAAAGTGAACCCAATTTAACCCATTAGAATAAAATCAGATGCCAAGATGAATCGGAATCATTGCTTCTTAGGTGACAGTACTGATGACAATTGATCCACCGGCTCAAAACAATAGAAAAATATAGGGTCGAGAGTCATTTCTCGTACTCTCCCTGCTCGGGGGAAGCGGGGAGCCGGCGGGGAGGCAGGAGCCGGCTCCCGGTCGGGATGCGGAGGGGCTGCGGCCGCTCCTCCCGCCGGCCCCGGCGGAGCGGCTCTCGCAGGAAGGGGCTCACTGCGAGGACCCTGTGGCCGGGGGAGCTGTTTCTGCAGCAGCCACACGAGATGACTTCTCGCTTCTGCTTTGTTTGCCCGTTTCTCTTAACTCCTGCGACAGTTTCAGCCCTTCTCCCCTGAGCCATGTGACCCTCAGGTCTACGTGGCCAGCTTGGTAATCTATTGGAAAAAGAAAAAAAAAGGAAGCAAGGGATGCTAATGATCTTCCTTGGAGTTTGTCAGCGGAGCCCCGCCGGAGTGCGGAGGAGGCAGGGCGGGCTCGGCTGCCCGCCGGGTTGCGCACCGGCTGGGGGAGGGTCCGGCCGTGCGCCCGGGGCAGGGTGGCAGGTCTCCGTCCCCGTGTGCTTCGGCTCCGCCGGCGGGGCAGCAGCTCGGCAGCGCCCGGGTAACAGCGCGGTGGCACAGGGTAGCCGCTCTCCCCGCCCCGGGCTCCCTCCCGGCCGCCGCGGGGAGGCCCCTTGCCCGCCCTCCCTTGGGCAGGGCTGGGTGGGGAGCGCGGGGAGCCCGGGGAGCTCGGCGGGAGTGGCGGCGTCGTGCCCGCGGTCCCCACGGACGCGGGCGGGCAGCAAAGGGCACATCCCACCCAGCAGCAGCAGCTCACCTGGAGAAACCGGCCAGAGAGGTGTCGGGCGGGTGTGTGTGTGTGTGCGTGCGTGCCTGTGTTCGTGCGGGTACTTTTGGTGGAGAACCTAAAAGCTGTGTCTGCAGGAGTAGTGGATTTAGGGCAGGGACCATGAGCTCTCATCACGCAGCGTTTGCTGCGCCGGCTCCGGGGCCATGCAAACCCGTCTTGCTCCCATGTTCTGTATGGCGAGAGCTTTTAAAGTAAGGTTTTCGTTAAATCCGCTGGTGACCAGGAAGTTTAAGGCCATCCCAGGCAAAAGTGGGAGCAGCCCTGGCGCAGGGGTATCCGAACCCGTCGGTTTGTGCGTGCCGGGAAGCGGCTGAGCACACAGGGAGAGACGGGCCTTCATGGGACGTGCTGCCTCCTTAACCTCCCTGAGAGAGCAGCCGGCATCTGCGCCAAGGTACAACAATAAGAATTATTAGTATCATAATCACCACGGTGCTGTTGATGCGACTTTGAGGGAGAAGCCCAGCCCCGGCCCCGCTCCGGCTCTGGCTCCGCTGGACGCCGCAGCCGCGGGCTCTTCCCCGTGCCTCCGCTTACTCTCTAAGTCGCCTAAAATATTTTTTTCCCCAATTACCGGTGCTCTAATGGGAGCAGGAGGCAGAGGAATATGCAAGGCTTATAATAAGCCACCTGCTGCGTCACGCCTAACTAATGTTATGCTTTATTTCATTACTGCTGCCGCGGCAGCAGCACCGGCCCGTGGGTTACAAATCCCCCACCCAGCACGACAGCCGGGAGAGGATCCCGGCGGGGGCCGGGGGCCGATCAGCGACAGTGACCGGTGCTCGGTTCCTGCGCTCGGAACCAGGACCCACGGGCGGTACCTTGGCGAGGGACTGGGTCCCGGCCGCCGCTTTGGGGCACACAATTCCCTGGGTCCGTTTAGAGCTGTCTCTCCCCGCAATGACCCCTCTCTCCATTTATTTGCATGGACACGCGGAGCTATATAAACAGCAGTAACAGCCTCATACATTAAATCAGTATTTGTTAGCAGAGCTATTCCGAGTCATTTCAGATATTTGGAATCAGTCTGTTCAGTGTAGCTTCAAACTATTGACTTGCCAGACGAGATGTTCATGTGGACCCACTTGCTAAAACGATGAAAACAGACTTTAGCTCTAAACTGTGCTACTCTCCCATCTGACGGATGTTAACACACAAATGAAATCCATTTGGATGTTTTTTGTTACCAGAAGGCTGCGCTGACGTTCAAATGATCTAAATCTTAGCATCTGGAAGCCTGTACAAGCATCTTTTTTGGAATAGGTTTCAAGACATCTCGTTCAACCCAAGCTGAGGAAAGATCAAAATGGGACACCAGGAAACTGACAATAGCTTCCCGTCTAAATGAAACTGGCTTTTCATTTGAAAGTACTAAAAAAAAAAAAAAAAAAAAAAAAAGGCAAACAACAACAACAACAAAAACACACCCACAAACAAAAAAACCCACCCCAAAACACCCAAAACCCCAAACTCGCCACAAACAAATAATCACCAAAAAAACCTTTCCCTTTACTACAGCCCCTCCGAGAAACCCCAAACTCTCCCAGCCAAGGTCCATGACGGAGTTGCTGCGAGGCATTGGGATGTCCCGAAAGTCACTACCGCCTGCGAGTCCTCCCAGTGGCAGAGCGCTCCACGGCGAGAGCAGACCGGTTTCATCCCAGGGACACTGACTGGGTTCGGGATTCGTTTAGGATTTTCTGGGAGTAGCAGTTCATCGACACTATGACAGGACATGGTACGTGAGTGCCATTCAGCCTTAATGAAGATCTGTGGGAGAAGTCGTGAGAGACAATAAATACAGCTGTCCGGATGTCGGTGACTTTAGCAGGAAATAAAGGAGGGCTTGGTGTTAATGAAACAAAGATGCGGTAGCTCTTGGTGAGGGCCTCGAGTGTACAGGAGTGCTCAGTACCTCCTGGGTGCTCATGAATATCTGTGGTGTGCGTTACACTTCATATTATGTTTGCAAACAGAATTCTTTTGTCTTTCAAAGGCTTTTACAAACTTGGACACCAAATAGACCGATGTTCAATCAAATACAAAGAATTTAAATTATTCAGGAACCCAAGTCACTCTGTGGAGCCTTTCTTCCTACCATCCCCCACCTCATTGCCGGGGATTTAATCCGACAGCAAGTGTGTCAGGGAGCCGCCTCAGCCCTGCCCCAAGGCGGCAGGATCATCTCCCGGGGCTGGGGGGGCCGGAGACCCGGCGGCGGCTTCCCCGGCCTCCCCTCGGGAGGGCTCCGGGGCCGGGCGCCGCTCTGGTGCTCAGGCATGGCCAAGCTCGCTGTGCACAGACGTCGGAGCATCCCCCGGAGCAGTCGAAGGGGATGGGCTTATCCCAAAGGGCGGATTTTCCCGGTACGCGGCGGGAGCGCTCCACCGCCCCGGGCATCCGCCTCTGCCGGTGAGGAGCGACAGGCGGGCTCGGCGGTGCTCACACACAGCTCAGCACAGCACAGAGCACAGCAACACACACCACAGCACACAGCGCCGTCCCGCCCTGCCCCTCCCGCCCTCCCAGCAGCCGAAACTCATGGGCATCGACGACTCCTGGTCGCCACGTTGCTTTACAACAGTAACGTTAGATACACCCGTGGGATTGATTGATTTACTGATCGTATGTGCTCCCTTTCTTACTTTCTTTTAAATTGAAAATAATCGCACTGTGATGATTGTGACCCATTACTTGTAGCCCAAAAGGAAGGGAAAGGGAGATCAGTGATGCGCCGTTTAAAACACACGTTCACATATGGTTCAGTTTGTGTTTTATGACAATTAAAATGCATTCACTGTGAGTCAGGATCAGGTACAGCAAATGCCAGTATTCCAGCAGTGGTAGCCACAAAGAGATGATGGGCTTCGGTTTCGCAGCCACTCTTGCAGAATGTAGGACGTTAATACTCATACACTAAAAAAAAAAAAAAAGAGTTGAAGCCCTTCTTTTTGGACTGGTCTTTCACGTTAACTTGCTCATATGGACACTGCAGAAGAAATAAAACAAGTCCTTATTGCATTGCTCGGTAATCAGTATGGAAAAGCCCAATCCTGCTTATGGTTAACAAGAATTGTTAATGATATATAAATCATTTGATCTATTGTGCCCTCCAGTCTTAAAGGAAAATAATGGCAACCCCAAGCAAATGGTCCTAATTAGTGTCCAAGAAACCACTTCCTAAAGTATCCTTCCAACTCATTCCAGTTTAACTGTCCAGAACAATCTTTTGTTCTTAAACTCCTGTATTTTGTGTATAACTACAAAAATGCTCTGCATACCTTCGCTTCGAAAATAGCTCATCTCAGGGTATAGCCCAACACCGGGAGCAGGAGAGAGGACGAGGTGATCTCAGTCTCTCGCCATGGCCTGTAAATAGGTCCCTAAAGCTATATTTATATATAAAACTGTATTTCCCTAAAGCCTTGCCTTCTGACAAGCCTCCTTAGAGAAGTACCAAAGGGGATTTCATAAAGAAACCGAGTCTCTGCCGCCACTTGGACTGGAACACAAAGTTTGAAAAGAAAAAGCTGAAATCGGACCCAGAACCAAGCTGTACATATTCGAGCTGTCTGTCACATGCTTTCACCCACTCTTCCCACCATTTTCAAGTGTGATCTGTAAGTTAAATGCACCGTGGGTACACCCGTATATACCACACTTGATGTGGCACCCAGGTGAAGATTCGGGCACACACTGGAGGAGTAACAGAGCTTGGCCGGTGGGTTATTGTGGCCTTGATCTTATCTCCACTGCAAGCAACTCAACTCCCGCCGTTTGCTCCCACGGGAGGCCTCCTTCTTGGACGTACATAGTACAAACTGCTATTTCTCATTAGCTGGAGTACCAAATCCTGTTGCTTCATGAAAACCGTCCACTCTTCCACTGAGTCCCGCATCTTCTGTCACTTCTCTATACCAATACAAAACATAAAACCCATCTTGGTCCCTTGGTCCTATAATCTTGCTGTTGCTTTGGGTTTTGGTTTTTTTGGGGTTTTTTTTTGTGGTTTTTTTTTTTTCTTTTCTTTTCTTTTTCTTTTCTTCCTTCTTTTTAGTGAAAGCTGGCTGGAAACAGACTTTCTGGCATGGGTTCTCCTCCTAAATGTGACGGACTTGCCAAAGGAAATAGAAC